CACTGCAAAAAGCACAGTACTGGCTTATGTTTTAGAAACACTCTCTGAAAACTTTTTTTCTTTACCAAATGCACTCGGTTTTTTTTCATTAGGGCATATAAATGAATAAACAAATGCTCCATAAATAAATATATAGCGCTGAACATCCTGGGAGCACTGCAGCTCTACCGAGTCCTAACTACCAGTAAAAGGGAATTTTGATGTCTTATCTAGACATGCTTGTTATCATTGATCCTGCCAGTGCCAGAGCAGCACAGTCAGTGATCTTAAAATGAAGGAAAAAAAGCCCACACAGAACCCGAAGCGTTTTTCAGCTCTATTTGAAAAAGATGCAGACGACGACTTTTTTTTTCCTCTACCTGGTGAGGGATTGTATTTCAACTATTTGATCTGGGGAAAGAATTCATCTGTTTGAAAATACAGGAGCCAAGCAAGCTTGTTATACAAGCAAAGGTTGTTTTCTGCAGTGATTTCGAGAGCAAACTTTCCCCACCGAACGCTGATGACAAACAAGCTCCGTGCTTTGACATCTGCAGCAGGAGCTGAGCTTGCTAAATTGAATCCCCTTCTGCCTCCTCCAAACTGCCTTGATAGTCGAGCAAATGGGGAAAAGAGCCTCTTCTCTGACTGTTTCAAAGCTTTCCTGAAGAGAATCATAACTGACAGGAGCTGCAGTTTGCGAGTTAAAGAGGAAAAGCGGGAGCGGGGAATTAACGAGCTGGATTCGGGAGGCGAGCGCTCCTCTCTACAAACGTGTCTGTACAGATGGCACAGACCCATTCCCAGCTTTCCCAGCCCTCCCTCTTTGCTACATGAGAAAATAAACAAAATTAGGAGCCACACTGCTCACCTCCAGCAGCTTTGGAGGGGACAGGTGGTGGAGAAGCGAGGACATCACGAAGAGGTCGCAGGTGAAGGAGCTTCCCCGCGGGAAGGACAGGACATGAGGTGTGATGCCATCTGCTCACTGCCACCACACAGGGAGGGTTGTTGTTGTTGTCTAAGTGGCTTGGGTTGGGTTTTTTCCCCCTCCAAGGGCTGCTCGGGGAGGTGGTGGAGTCCCCATCCTTGCTCACTGAACGTGGCTCTTGGTGCTCTGCTCTGGTTGAAAAGGCGGACGTTGGCCAAAGGTTGGACTCAACAACCTCAAAGTTGTCGGGGTTGACAGCAAGCCTGTCAGCAGCCTGGGATTCACTGATGAAGCAGTGAAAATAAACCAGATTACAGTACACCCCTGAAAGGAGGAGAACACAACACGCAGAGGAATGTGGGCAACTTTCAGAGAGGAAGAAGATGGAGGACAGAAATGGACTTCCTGTACTTTCTGCAAGTCATCATGACTCGACAGAAGCTGTGTCAGCATGAGTTTGCTATTTTTCAGCCAATCCTGATTTATTTATACATCAAGACACCAATGGTAGATTGACATGAATATGGCCTGATGTGTGTGTACATGAAAATACCAATAAGTAAACTGACAAGTATGTGACCTGATCTATGTGTACCAATAGTAGGATGACGTGTACAACCTAATATATGTTTATATGAAAGTACCAATAGTAAGTTGACGTGTGTTGTGTTAAAAGTATAAATGTCTACAGCCTGGATCAATGAAGATCCTTTTGCAGCCTTCTTGCTGTCCTGTCCCTGCTTTGAAAGAAGATTCCATGTCGCATTGGCCGTCCCGACTTTAACAGCGCCACAAAGTCTTTTCCAACTCAAATGATTCTGTAATTTCCTAACTCAGCTTTTGCCACTTTTCAGCTTTCAGGCTCAAATGTGCTCCCTGTTTCCTTGCTGAAGATTTGCAGGACTTCAGGACTGCAGCAGTGTGGGTTCCACTAAATAATTTCCTTTTATTCTCTTCTGAGAGACTCCACACTGTCCCTGTGCTTTCTTTGTCAGCCCTGCCTGGGAGTTTGGAGCTGCACTGCTGTTATTTCCCCTTAGCCAGTTCTGGTAGGGCTTTGACTCATCATTTTTGTCAATCAGAAAGGATTGTGAAGGATTTCCTCCCCAGCTGGGGCAGGATCTGGAGCCCAGAAATCAGCCAAAGCCAGCTGGGTGGTGGCAACAACCTCTTCATGCACATGGGAGTGAATCCCCTCAACTTGATTTTCAATTATTGGAAAAAATTGGTTTAAATACCAAACTGTGCTGAGGAGACAAGAAGCCTGAGATTGTATAAAAGGATCTGCTATTTTATTCCTTTGGTATTGCTCGAAGCTGCTGTTTAAGCTGATATTTGCTTTTCAATCACATCAGGTCACCCCAGGATATGTGGTGTCCTACAGTCCTCAATCTGTCAGTGCTTTTAGGGATGCTGGGAGGGATGTTTTTTAGGGATGCTCAGAGGGAAAATCTTGTTTTTCAAGGGAAGGAATGATTCCTAACAGTTCTAGACCTCCAGACATCATTCAGGGAGAATGTAAAAAAAATGTAAATTAATACTATAATATCATAATAATATTATAATACATATATAATATGTAACACAATATTTATAATAATATAATAATATAATATATTATAATGCTATAATACTATAATAATATATTATATATTATAATAATATTATATATTATATATTATTATAATATTATATAGTATTGTAATATTATAATAATATAATAATATAAATTATTCCAAAAAATGAGTAATTTCAAGTGTGTGGGCAAAGTTTCACAGGCAATTTTTTCAGGTGGTGTTAAAATTGGCCAGGAAACCTTGACTTTATTAATTATTCTGCTAATATTATTGACTTCTGGTTAAATAGCTCTAACTAGACAAAAATCACTTGAAAATTCGTTGTCAAGTTCTGCTTTTCTGCCCAGGAGGAGGTTGTGCTTAATCACCACCTGCAACATTAAAACAGATTTTTAAACTAAAAGAATCCAAAACACCAGGCAATCATCTGCAATACCCGTGGTTTTGGGCACATCATATATGAATTAAGCAGCAAAAGAGATGCATTTAGAATCCAAATTAGTTCTTTGTAAAGAAGTGGGACCTGGAGCAAACAAATTGAGCCACATTTTCACTGAAATGGCTTTCAGTGTTTTAGATGGACAATGTTTGCTTTGCAGGTTGAGACGTATTTTGTCCAAAATGAATTTAATTATTCCAAAAATGGAATAAAATGGAATAAAATGGAATAAAATCAGAGACTAAAAGCATCTCTCAACATCTTCATCCTAAGCACCACCAGAGGCACTGCAGGGCTGAGGGACCTGCCCAGGTTGGGTGTGGTGGGATGTCCTGGAGACATCCCAAAGAATCCACCCACCTTCTGTCCCTGCTTCTGCTGACCTCATTGTTCCATGTCTTTCCTTCCGTTTAACTGCATTTCTATTACAAATATTCCCCCTCCACCATCCCTGTTTTATTCCTTTCAATCCCTCCCCACAGTCACTCGTTGCTCTCCCGCTCATCTTTCAGCTCTTCCTGCCCACTTGCATCGCTTCCCATAATGTTTCCATCCACCAAACCATTAAAATAACCTATTAAAATGTTTCAATAATATTATAACTTTCAATTCCAACCAGCTTTGCCATATTTTGCTGTCCCTTTCCCCTTTGTTAAATAAAATCACTGCCTTCTAAGTGTGCATCCCACCCTCCACCTGCACCAGCTTCTCCAACAGAGCCCCAAACATGGATTTCTCTTCCCTGTTCCACAGGCACTGGAAGGAGCAGCCGCCTCATATCGATGAGAACTCTCCACTTGCACCTTAGAATGTCAATTATTCAATATTTTAGTATTCAGTCTTAAGCTCTGCCAAAAGAGTCACTTCCAGAAGCGACAGAATTTGGCTTTTCCCCAGCTCCACAAGAGGCAAACACTAAGGACCACTTTCTGTTGATGCAGTTTGAAGGACTCTGAGCAGAATTGAAAAGCCCACGTGGCCAAAAGGATTTCAGAAACTTTGAAGCAACACTGCCAAGTCACACCTAAGCATTGGGGTAAAGCAAAACAATCCAAAAAATATAAGTCTGTGGTAAAAATAATACAGTCCTGTTCCCTATATACACATGTTTATTATTATACCTATGTTTATTTTCTTTAATTTTTTTCTAATATTTCTCTATTTTTCTCTAATATAAATTCTAGTTTTAGCAATAGTACAACTTTTGTTCCTCAAACACTCTATTGGAATGGATGACCCTGACCATGAGTTGCTTGGAATCAGGTGGCTGCCCTTATCCCAAGGAAGGGATTTAATATAATCTGGGGGATTTTTTATATTTCATTGGAACAGCCAAGGAGAGTTTATGTGCTCAGTTAACACCTCACAGGAATTTCCAATAAGGACTTTCAGCTTTCTGAGCCAGTCAGCTCCTGCCTGTGAGGGTGGGGCTGATTTACCCTGAATGTGGGAAAAGCAAACTCAGATCAGCTGCAAATGAAAGTTTCTGAAAGTTCCATTCAGGGCCTTTTAGGCTCCATCTCTTGCTCTTTCCTTGTTTCTTGCAGAGAGGTGCAATATTCCTCATTTTCAGCTCCACACGGCTCTGTTAATGGGAAAACACCTTCTCAAGGTATTGTAATAAGAACCTGTAGATTGATAATAAATATAAGATACTGAGATGGGCATTTGGCTGTGGGGTTGAATGGGGGCTGTGGCGGGACCAGACCTTGGTGTTGTGTTGGGGAGGAGCAATGATTGACACCACAATTGACAACACCCCGTCTGTGGAGACATGGACAGAGCTGGGATTATTCAGCCTAGAGAAGGAAAGGCTCCAGGGAGACCTGAGAGCCCCTTCCAGAGCCCAAAGGGGCTCCAGGAGAGCTGGAGAGGGACTGGGGACAAGGGATGGAGGGACAGGACACAGAATGGCTTCCCACTGCCAGAGGGCAGGGCTAGGTGGGATATTGGGAAGGAATTCTTGGCTGGGAGGGTGGGGAGGCCCTGGCACAGGTTGCCCAGAGAAGCTGTGGCTGCCCCTGGATCCCTGGAAGTGTCCAAGGCCAGGTTGGAGCAACCTGGGCCAGTGGAAGGTGTCCCTGACCATGGCAGGGTGTGGAATGAGACGGCCTTGAAGGTCCTTTCCAACTCAAATCATTTTAAATTCTATAGATCTGTTTTCCACTCACTTAGCAATGCCAGGGTTTTATTTGTCTCCTTTTGTTCTGTTTTTAACAGTTTTTAACAGTTCAGTTCTTTAACAGATACTGGAGGTTGGTCACAGGAAAACATTCCTGTTTTTTCCCTATTATTTTTTTGGGAGGAAAGCTGAGAGGGGAGCTGCTTCTGGTGCTTTCAGAATCTAGCTGAGACAATAAAACTTGCAAAACTGCACCTACCTCACTCCCTGATGGAAAGCTGTTTGACCATGATTGCTCTTCACCTTCCCCAGAGGGTGCATGGATCACAACAAACCCAAAACACCAGAAAAACAAATCAGAAACAATCAGAAAGCAGAAACTGGAAATGCAGGTTCTAGGTGTTGGTTGGGCACTGGTACAAACTGCACCTCACTGATTTGGGAAGCCACTGCTTGGACACCTTAGGGGACAGCAGAGGCAGGAGTTTCACCAATTCCACATCCCTGTGGAAGCAGAGCCAGGAGACAACCAGCTCCTTGATTTATCTGAAGTCTTCCCAGCCTTGTGTTCTGCCAAAGGCACTCAAGCAGGAGCAGGAGGATTAATGGCTCTGCACAGCAAAGCCTCTCCTTGGCACTTGTCATCAACCCCCACCTCCCACCATCCCTCCTGCCACCCCAGTGCCAGTTCCCTGCCTCTCCCTGCACCAGAATTCCCATGAAACACTGGGAGATCTTCACTGGAATCACCTGCAGAGGGGATGAGAAGTCTCAGGGGCTGCATTTGGAGAGGCACTTTGGTCAGCTGTGCTCACTGAAAGGAAATCCCTGGAAAAGCAGCACCTCTGTGACCAGGAACCTTCACAACACGCAAAGATTTGCCACTAAAAAGTCCTCATTTATCACAGGCTCCCAAAGGTGGTGCTGCAGTGAATATCAGAGGTATAACGTGCCTCTAACATAACAAATTCATTGTCATCCTCCTTTGATTGCAGCATTAACACCAAAAAAATATAATCAATTACTCCTTCCATTTTTTAAGAAACTCAAGGGTTTCTCTGCGTGGAACAGAAGGGCACTGCAGGATCTCAAACTCCTTTTACATCAGCCATAGGAATTCTGATTTTCCCTGGCAAATGCTGAATTGTTGGAGGCATCTTTTATTTTAGGAACTGGCAGCATCTCTCAGACGTTAATTCAGGAGAATTACCCTGAGAAAAGCAACACTGGCCCTTTTTTGAGGTGAGCCCTGGACACATTAAGTGCTTTGCTCGAGGCCAGGAGTGAGTCACTGGGAGAACCATCACCCACAGCACATCCCTCATGCTGCTGCCACCACCAGCTCTCAAAAAGAAAGGGAATAATTAATGGGAGTCTCAGAATTCATATCAGAATTTCAAGAGTTCATGGTCTGAGCCCATTAGAATATGTAAGATCCCTCCAGCTATAATTTATGTGAATATTGTTCACTACACATTCTCACATGGCCACTTTTTTCTTTTGGGAAAGTCTCCAAAGACTTCCACAAATATATTCTTTTTCATGCTAAAATAACTCCAGATTACACTAAAAGACAGTGGTGCTGAATTAGCTCAAAAACAAACCTAATGCCTTGAAAAATCCACTAAACCCCAAGTCTTCAGGACTTCCAGAGGCCAGGAGGTGCCACATCAGCCACTTCACATCCCTAAAAAGCTGAAGTTACTCACCAATGTGAACAAGGGTCAAGACATTTCTGGGGCCCTCATCACAATTGGATTTGTTTTTCACTCTCCTAAATGAAAATTTTCGATGTAGAGTTGTCATTTGCAGGGGATGTTTATGGATCATTTACTAATAGTGTATGTTCTCTTCTCCTTTCAGCTCTAAAAAAAGGAAATTGTTGGTTATGATTCATTGGTCAGACCAATGCAAATGCTGCCCTTTAAACACAGTGTGATTAATGTAACAGTTCACTTCAGAAATAAACAAATATTCAGTTCCAGAGGAATTTCCCATTGTTTTTATAACACTTGCAGCAATATATAAACAAGTCAGAAGTATCTCAGAAACATTTTCAGCAGTAATTGCCATATGTCACTATTAAAAATTATACTAATTCTTGCTCAATTGCAATAATATGAAATATTTTAACAGGAATAACACTGGAATGTCAGTCTGGTTGGTTCCTAGCCTCTGCATGTTGGGATTTTGAAAGGTTTTTAAATTATTTTAGAAAGGGTAGGCTAAAATATGGAAATAAGTCCAAGGCACATAAAGCAGCTCAATTAATTTCCCTGGGTTGCTGAATTGGAGGATTTTGAATAGAATTTGGTTGTAGGGGGAAAAGAAAAAAAGCAGCATCGCCCAAATCCATCAATCTTCACACACAGGACAAAATCACTCTGTTGTACCACCTCATATTCATCATCTGTGTGGGGACAAGCAACTCATCACTCTCCTTGTTCGGCGAGAGATACAAAATAATACCTGGACTCCTGAGAGTGGTTTTGGGACACTTTGTAATGTTCCCAGGACAAGGATGGCAATTTTTTACATGGAAATGCAATGTTAGAGACACTTGGAATGCACAATTAGCCAGGGCATTCCATAATTTGGCTGCCAGCAGGGAGGAGGAGATCCCTTCTCCCAACACTGGGATGCTCCTGTGATGCTCTGAAAACGTCCCACAGTGCTGGTGCTGCAGGTGCTTGATGTGACAAACATCCTTTTGTCCTCACAACCCACCTGCAACTCCAGTTTGGGCTTGATAACGGGCTTAATTTTTCAAAGGTGGCTCCACTAAACCAAACCTACTTCTAAAACTGCCTGGGGATGCCCAACCACATCTATCCCTGCAAACCTCTTGGAACAGTCACTCTGTTGGGACAGGGAAGGGTTGGCTGAGCTTGCAGCCATTCCATCAGTAACTCCAAATGCCACAGGCAGCTCTTGGATGCCAGACCTGCAGGAGACACCACAGACACCTCAATAAAGTCACACCAGACACCAGCCACCTCCTTTTTGTCAAGACTTCAAGTGCTGCAGGTGATGTCCTACACTGATGGACATAACACTCGGCTCACTCACTCCTTCATCATGGAAAACACCAAAAAAAGCCCAAAAAAGGCTGGAGGTGCTGTGTCTACTTCTGCAGGAATCTACTTCTGGAGGAATCGCTGCAGGAAGACTTGGACTGGCAAGATGCCACGAGCCCACAGTCACAGCTCTGGACAGAGGTCCGAGGAGAGGCCAAATAACATGTTTTCCATGCCAGGGAGATTCAGAGTGAACACATCAATCTTTAATGCTGGAGCACAGGGTAACATCTTCTTTGATTTATCAGCTTGGGCTGTTGCTTTTCATTTAAGGGGAGTTCAATTTAATCTTTTGAAGTGCAGGAAAAGGTACAGCAGCAGCCTAAAAAAAAACCAACTCTGTGTGGTTTGACACCTCAGCACATGATAGGATACAGAGAAACCTGCCTGCCCTTGCTGCACATCTCCTGGAATTTCTGAAGAAGAAAGGACAGAGCAGAAAACTGTCAAGACCATGAACATGTCTCAGTGCTGGAGGTCAGTGTTGTCACATTCATCCAAACCCAGACTGAGCATCCTGGTCTCCCCAGTGACCTCAACATATGGCTTTGCTCAGGGAAGTCCCACTGCCTGAACATGAGGTTGCATTAATATTTCAAATCAAAGTTAAGCTCTAGTCCTTCAAGAGAGTTTCCACTCACTTCTCTTTGTGTACTTGGAAAACCAGCATTAAACTGCTTTCTTACCCAGGCACAAGTGGAAATCATGGATTCACAGGATGTGCTGAGCTGGGAGGGACCCACAAGGATCACCCAGACCAACCTTCAGCCCTGCACAGGCCCAGCCCCAGAGTCACCCCATGTGTTCCAGAGGATCATCCAAACCCTCCTGGAGCTCTGGCAGCCTTGGGGCTGTGCCCACTGCCCTGGGGAGCCTGGGCAGTGCCCAACCAGCCTCTGGGGGAAGAACCTTTCCCTGAGATCCAACCTGAGCCTGCCCTGACACAGCTCCAGCCATTCCCTGGGTGCTGTCCCTGGTTCCCACAGAGCAGAGCTCAGTCCCTGCCCCTCCTCTGCCCCTGCCCAGGGAGCTGGAACTGCAGTGAGGTCTCCCCTCAGTCTCCTCTTCTCCAGCTGAACCCACCCAGTGCCCTCAGTGCCCTCACACGCCTTCAAATCAAGGCCCTTCCTCATCCTGGTTTCCCTCCTTTGGACGCTCTCTAATGGCTTCAGATCCTTTTTATAAATACGTCCCTCTGTGCTCTGCAGCTGCAAACATGTTTTGACCTCTTCCACCCATCACTTGATCCATCTCTGCCCATAGTTCTGCAGTTCAGACCCACAGGACCTACCAGCCCCTCACTGTGCTGAGGGGTCTCAGTCAAAACGATGAACGACACCAAGAAGTGTTTTGGGGAGGAGATCAATCACCATGAGACAGGACAAGAGGAAACGGCCTCAAGCTGTGCCAGGGGAGGGTCAGGTTGGACACCAGGAGGTTCAGGTTGGACATCAGGAGGAATTTCTCCCTGGAAAGGATTGTTAAACATTGGAAGGGGCTGCCCAGGGAGGTTTGGAGTCCCCATCCCTGGAGGTGTCCAAGGAAGGCCTGGCCGTGGTACTCAGTGCCCTGGGCTGGGGGACAAGGTGGGGATGGGGCACAGGGTGGACTGGATGACCTTGGAGGTCTTTTCCAACCTTAATGATTCAGTTAAAAAATTAAACCAGCTGAATTTCCTAATGTAAATTATCCACCCTTTACCTGAGCCCATTGCCATCCTCCTTTCAACTCTTTTATCAGCACTGTGACACAGCAGGGGAATAAAACACGTGAGGAGACACCAAATCAGGCTTCCAGTTGTCCCCAGCAATTATAGAAACTGCCCATTTCCTTAAATTTAAAACTTTACAGCATTCTCTGAAGATCTGACCAATCTTTATGATCAATTCATAGAGCAAAAGCTAGAAATATGTATGTGTATGATCCCTATCTCCTAATGCAGGCAGCTTTCCAAAAAACCTTTGCTATGAAATTCAACTAATTAAGTCATTTCCAAGGTACAATATTGCCTGGAAGAAGAAGTTAATGAAATGAGTATATGAACCTTTAGCTAAACTCCATAGTTTAGGAAAGAATTTTAACCTGTCATCAGGTCAGTCTGAAATTATTCATGTTTAAGGCTAAAATCATTCTGAATTAGCCTTAAGTTAATAATATGGGGGATAAAGGCTTTTGTTCATCTTTTTGAGCATAAGAAGGAAATCCTAGAAAAACTGCAGTGGAATTTTCAGTTTAATTTTTTTGTGATGGCATTTCCTAGAGGAAAGACAAACCATACAAACCCTGTCTTTGATCTGCTAAATTTCATATAGAAATATGTCACTAAACAGTCACAAAAATTAATCTTTTTTGCATCCAGAGTGATTTATGCCACGCAGGCTTCTGAGATGGATATCTTGACACTATATACAATGCAGCAAAGTCAATTTGATCAACTAGATTTATCATTCAGCAATTCTGATCAATTCTGAAGGTACTTTGCCCTCAACAGTCCATTTTCATCTGAACTATTTCTTATAATCCACAGCTTTGTGCTTCCACAGCAGCTGCACAAGAACAAAGCCCTGCTCAAGAAACATTTCCTTGCAGGACATGTAATTATTAAATTGGATTCTAATTACAGATCATAAATTACAGACACTTCTTTAGAGAGAAAAATACCCAGAATGCTACAGAGAAATTCAAAGCCTATTTATGAAGTTAATCTAAGAGCATTTTGGTTAAAAAAAAAAAAAAAAAGAAAAAAAAGAAAAGGAGCAATCTTGGGATCAAATCATGACTTCTGTATGAATTCCATGTGATTGTGTTAGGATGCTGTTTGACACTAGTGTACACAAATATTACTTACTATTAAAATATATAGAAACATATGTCACTTGTGTGTGTCCCCAGCAGCCAGTTGGCCTTTCCTGGAGGAAGAGGAATGAAAAGTGCCTCTGAATATGTTCTTTCTATAGAAGGACAGACATCAGTGTGCAGCCAAAGCCCTCCAGGAAAGCCTCAGCTCTAACATCAGCTCCCAAAAAGCAACTGTGAGCCAAGGAAAGATTAAAGAGATTGAAGCAACCAGCAGATCTTGGTGCTGGTTCCAGCTGAACCCACACCACGGGAGCAGTGCCCTGGCAGCAACCAACAACTGGGTGCTGAAGCAACAGGCACAGAAATGCAAAGCCACAGCGTTGTGGTTGTCCAGGATCAAGGCTGGTGGCTCAGAACCAGAGGGAAGAGGGAATGGGGCCTGTGGAAACCTGGGCTTTGGCTCCAGACACCTTGGGAAGGAGCCCAGGGCTCACCTGGGCTGGCTGTGCCAAAGGCATGAACGGGTGGCAACCCACAAAGCCACACCCACAGGTGGCCACAAACCCACAGGTGGCCATCAAAAACTCACACATGGTCACCACAAACCTACAGCCACAGGTGGCCACCACAAAGCCACAAGTGACCATCACAAACCCACATGTGGCCATCACAAACCCACACGTGGCCATCACAAACCCACACGTGGCCATCAAAAACCCACAGGTGGCCATCAAAAACCCACAGGTGGTCACCCACAAACCTATACCCACATGTGGCCACCACAAAGCCACAAGTGACCATCACAAACCCACACGTGGCCACCACAAACCCACACCCACACATGGCCACCACAACCCCACACGTGGCCACCACAAACCCACAGGTGGCCACCACAAACCCACAGGTGGTCACCACAAACCCACAGGTTGCCACCACAAAGCCACAAGTGACCATCACAAACCCACATGTGGCCATCACAAAGCCACACG